CAAAAGCTGTTCTAAATATACAGGTACTGCCACATTTACTTGTCAAAAAAGTCTCCTTTTGCTCCGTGCATAATCTTCTTTCTCTTCGTCAAATGACTTTAACAGACTAGAACGACTGACTGTTGCGACAACAACCCTAAACAAGGACTTTAGGATTATTCTCACACGGAAGTTCTTTACCTTCTGCTTCCGTTCGGTGTGCATTACGAATTGCCGCTAAACTAGGGGTATCGCTGCAATACCAAGAATATCTGCAGGAGGGTATGAAGTAGCCTCCATAGGAAACTGCTTCCAATCACAAACGTAATGGCTATTTGGAAGGCCACACAGCATCAGCAAAATTCTTCTGAAAAGATATATATGTTAGAACAATACTTTAGCATCGGCTAGTTGGAAAACTAGAACGAAGTGCTAGAACAGGTTCCTAATCATACCGGATAAACCAAATGAAGTTGAAAACTAAGCACACGAAGAAAACTTTTGGTTGTGAAAAAAAGCACGCTTGCAGATGACATGCTATACTAACACAATTTTGTTTCATTTGCGTCGTTTTCGTCTGCATTCTGTGCAGTCGGCGAAAAATAAATTTTTAGTTGTAACTATCCGAAAATAGCGCCAAAAAAATATTCCAAAATTAGCGCGAAAATTTTAATTCAAATCTGCAGCGGGAGTATGGATTTGAGTTTGAAATACCTGATGTCCTAGACTGCATCCTGGGAACTGTGAATTAATTACTGTACCTTCTTCGTTACAGTTGCGGTTGTAACATCGTGGGAGGTACACTAACGCCTTTTTTGCGGTGGCACTCTTCAGAACTGCGATTCTCCTGTATTTCTGCCAGTTGCTCAAGGTTCCTCCAGGGAAACGACGGATTTCGCTTTGCAGGCCTTGTCTGTTTTTTGTTAAATGGTTAAATTCTAGCGGAAAGGTCATTACAAGGTGCGAGACGGTGCAGATGCTAGGATTTTGAGAGATGGGACTTAGGCTCTGAGGATAGATGGGAGTTTTCAGAAGCAACAAATCCTCAGTTTTTTAAGAAAGGCTTTCCTAGAGTAGGTTTGACTGATGTTGAGAAGTTTTAAACAGTTAGTTTAAATACCACCAAAAACTGGGAGACTTGGAGTAACGGTTGACGAAGCTGTTCTTGGCGGTTCCTCTACAATATTCTCTATTCAAAAAACTAAATTCTTCTGGCTAAATAATTTACAAGTTATTGGCAATGTTCAATCATAATTCTTATTGTTGCATCTCAAAAATTCCCGTTCTAGATCAGAATATCATTGACAATGGAAGTGCTGTAGTGTGTTTTAAATGTAGTAATTGGTATTTTTTGGCCCAAAACTTTAAAACAATTTTTTTCTGAAAGTGTTATTGCTGGAATTTCAGAAGTATTTAGTTTTACAGTGTAGGTCCTTTTACAACACCGCGGTCGACATATTTTTCGCACCTTAATTTTTTTTACCTTTGTCTTCATTCTTCGTTTTTTTTTCTTTTTTTTTTTTTTGGAATTTCTCAGCTTGTTCGTGGTTATTAAAATCTTTTGCCAAAAGACATTTCCGTTTCCCTCGTTTTACTATATGTTTTAAGACCCAAGCAGGAAGGATGACGGCCCGCACAGAAGAAAGGTTTACTTTAGATGACTTTATGAAGCTTGAAAAAATAGGTGAAGGTTGGTTTAACTGAGTTTTAAAGTTTAAACTAGTGCAGCCTGTTGCTTGTTGAGATTAAAACCACACTTTTTAAGGGACTTATGGCGTAGTGTATAAAGGCCAAAATATTAAAACAGGGCAGATGGTTGCCATGAAGAAAATCCGTCTAGAAAGTGAAGACGAGGGAGTGCCGGCTACGGCTCTTCGTGAAATTTCTCTCTTACGCGAACTTCTCCACCCAAATATTGTTGCGTATGTCCCTTCAAGCTCCTCGACTTAAAATTCTGCATAGCAAATTTTCTATGCAAGTAGAAAAGTGATTTAAAGTGTAAATACGATTGTGTTTATGGTACTGCTATTGTTCGTTGTTTCTATTCTCTTTGTTATATTGTTTTAGTCTCGAAGAAGTCATCATGCAAGAAGAGAAATTGTATTTGATATTCGAGTTTTTATCTATGGATTTGAAAAAATTCATAGACACAATTCCGAAAGACACTATGATGGACCCTTATTTGGTATGCTTTTTTGTGTTGCTTATGGGGAAGTGTAGTAAGCGGAAAGTGTGAAATTGAAAATCTTAACTCATTTCTGCTGAACATAAAGCAATATAGTTCCAAAGGAATTCTGACGTCTTACTTTCTCTTCAAGCGACGTCGGCTTCAAATGAATTTGGTTTTTTTTTTTTCAGCAGAAATCGTACCTTTATCAAATTCTGCAAGCAATGTGTTTTTGTCATCAGCGCCGTATTTTGCACAGAGATCTGAAACCTCAGAACTTATTAGTAGACAGCAATGGTATAATAAAGCTTGCGGATTTTGGGCTTGCTCGAGCTATCGGTATTCCAGTACGGGTTTATACCCACGAAGTATTGTTGTTCTTATTTGCTCTTTATTTCTTGTTAATGCAGAACTGTAGCGTTTCGGAATAACTCCATATATATATATATATATAAACTCAGAAGTTAAAAGAATTTTTTGGTTTACTTGTCGCTTTTCAAAATAGATTTTGGGATGAAGGTAGATAAGGTTTTTTAATTCTCATTCAACGTGTAACACC